AGGAATAATGATAATAATAATAATAATAATAATAATAATAATAAATTACACTTTTCCTCCCTAAATTATAAGTAAATTGTAGGAGTCGTCTCTACTTGTTGGTCATGCTCAGTTTTTGTCCATAAGCTATAATTGGCGTTGCAAATTAATTTTGTCCTTAACTAACAAAACATTAAGAACAAAATTTACAAAGTCACTTATAGCTTAAACATGAGAAGTGAGCATGACCTGTTAGAAAAGGGACAAAATTTACAAATTCGATCAATTATAGCTTATGAACGATTTACCTACATTGTACTTAGGGTTTCGATTTTAGAGTTTATCACTGCGTTTTTTATTTTATTTGGTTTAGTGGTTCACTTTTTACTGCTTAGCATCTAGCATTTATGGTTTAGATTTAAAATTTAACTTCTTTCATTGATTTTATAAAATTTACCAAGTTTGCATATTTAGTTGTTAAAGATTGCATATTTAAGTGTTCAAGTTTGCATAGTGAAGTTGATCATAATTACGAAAATGTCACCGCATTTTTTTTTCAAATATGATCAGAACCATTAAATTTTTACAAATGTAAGGGTGAGATTTGTTCTTAGTTTCCTCCTGCGGGTGTGTTCTCATGGGATCCAAAGCCTCTGTGTGTGTGTCTGTGTCTGTGTCTGTCTGTGTGTGTGTGTGTGTCTGTGTGTGTGTGTGTGTGTGTGTGTGTGTGTGTGTGTGTGTGTGTGTGTGTGACGTACACCCACACACGTGCACTTTTTTTTCTTTAGTTATCCGCCTAGGCGCTAGGCGCTCTTCTACTGCCCGACTAGCGCCTAGCATCTACTACAGGTGAGAACCACTGTTTATGTGTGAACCTGTGAACTCCTATGTATCGTTGAGATGTGAGATTAGATGGTCAAGATCTGAGAAGTTGTGCAATTGTGCATTTGGTGCAGTCGTGCAGTGATATAATGTTGTGCAATGGTACAATGACGTATATTTATTAAGTCAAAATCATTGTAAACCACAAAATCAAACAAGATCAACGTAACAGTGCATAATGATAAACAGATTCACATGATAGCAGAGGTTTTCATTTAAATCTTTTTTTTTTTTTGAAAAAGGTTTTCATTTAAATCTAATTATATTCTTTCATTTCTAAATATTCAGGTAAACAACCTACGCACCTGATGTCATAATTTACACAAGGTAGTAAAAAGATTAAACGAAAAAACTCATAATATTTTTATTAAATGGAATCTTGCTTTATTTTTAATTTGTATCGTTTTGATACAGACCAAGACTCTCTTTTGTTGTTGTTGTTGGAAATCATTTCATATTAGTGTTTCATGAAAAAGCATCCTTTTTTGTTTCATGAATGTAGTATGAACCATCATTGAATTTGTTTATGAGTTTCCCTACTTTTCGGGAAGATGTTGAAAGTAAAAATAATAATAACAATAATGACTAGCTAGATGCCTAGATAGAGTTGTGTTACTTGAATCAAATAACTTCAATCATGCACTTCTATTCAATAGTACTATAATTCCTTTAAAAATAAAATAACTCTTCAACATGTATTATATAACATGTTTTTGAGTAGTATTGAACTCTTTTATTATACGAAGTATTAATTATCTTTTTATAATTTAAAATTTTTTTATTCATGAGTATTCAATAAAAATATTTATTGATGATGGATTTATGTCTTATTGCCTATATCAAAATAAAAATTGAGTGGAGAATCTTCTTCTTCTTCTTCTTCTTCTTTTTTTTTTTTTTTTTTTTTTTTTTTTTTTTTTTTTTTTTTTTTTTTTGAAATCATATAGCTTTATTTAGTATTAAGTAAACTTCAAATAATATAAGTATTCAATATTTACTAATTACTGGGACAATTCATAAAAGATGGTGATTTATTTAATCATTATAAATAAATTAAAAGATAAGTCAATATTAAAATTACTGAATTGTCCATCTATTTAACACCAATTTAACGGAATAATAAACGGAGGACTACATTGAGCAAAAATACAAAAGTCGGAGAATACATTAGGTCACCAAAGTCATTTAAGACGAAATTGAGAAAAAAAAAACTATTATAACCAATGACCATTTTGGGTGTTAACTCTGGTAAAGATGTTCCATTTTCTCATTCTTTCTTTTGTAAATAAATTAATTTGGAGATAATATTTTTTAATGGTATAGTAATACACTAATCCAAGAGATTGATTAAGTTATAGAGTTAATATCCAAAATTGTCCTCGACTATAATGGTTTTCCTCAATTTCGTCCTACACGACTTTGGTGACCTAATATAGTCCCAGACTTTTGTGTTTCGCTCAATTTAGTCCTCCATTTGTTATTCCGTCAAATTAATGTTAAATAAAGGGACAATTCAATAATATCAATATTGACATCTCTTTACTTTCAACCTGCAAAGTGAGAAATCTCTCTTTCTTACACGAATTACATCCAGAGTTACTCTCAGACATACGAATCAAATTTTATATTCGCAGCTTTAGAAGTAATTCTGGGAGTAATTCGTAAAAAAAGAGGGATTTCGCACTTCACATGTCTATGAATAAAGAGATGCCAATATTAAAATTACTGAATTGTATATTTATTTAACAACAAATGAACGGAATAACAAATGAGGGACTAAATTGAGCAAAAACACAAAACTCTGAGACTACATTAAGTCACCAAAATCGTTTAGGACAAAATTGAGAAAAACCACTATAGTCGAAGACGATTTTGGGTATTAACTGTTAAGTTATATTAGATATTTTTGTAATATTAACAAAAGTTACCATCCCCAAACGTATATTTTTGTAATAGTACCCGCATGGGCAGCTCAACTGGTCACAGAGGTGAAACTTTGGAAGAATGATCAGGGATTGAGTCTCACCAGCGGCAGTGTGGGAGCAATCACTCAAAGTGTGGGGGAGTTCCTTGTGCGCAGTGAGCACGGTCTAGCTTTTGTGGTTCATGTTCAGTTGAGTTACCATGATTTACATCCTTTCAAATGCTCTGTCGGGTTGGGGTTCTTCCTTTTGGAAGAATATGTTTGTAATAGTGAAATGTGGCCAATTGCCACAAATTAAGTTATATAACCACACACAGCAATACAGAAATTAAAATTAAAATGAGCACCAAAATTAAATAATGTCGCCAGTTGCCACAAATTAAATTTATTTAGAATAATTTCTCCATGTTGCGCCAACTAATCAAACCAATTCATATTAATTATTTATTGAATATACTCATTAGGAACTAGTGAAATAAGGTATATAATGGGACAGAGAAAGACCCGGACCACATTGTGGTTTATACTTGATTCGCTTCGGAAGCTAGCCCAAAGAGAATCGCCACTTGTGGGAATCAAACTCAAATTATCTCAAAATTCTCTCCACAAAGAGAGCTCATGTGTCACTTGAGCTACCCTGTTGGCTTTGTTGTAGAAGGCTCTAGTCGAGTGTCGTGGCCGCCTAGTGCCTAGGGAGCAGCCTAATTAAAAAAATCCGTTCAAAACGATGTCGTTTTGAACTGAAAAATCTATTAAAAAAAGTTATGGTCGACTCAGTCGAATTCGGAGCCGAGTTGGGCGACTCAGCTGCCTAGTCGCCCGACCGACTAGCAACTGCCTACACCCCTTTGCGTCTCGACTTAGGATCGCTTAGCCTCTAGGCGGCTGCCTAGGCCAATTTTTACTACACTGACTATTTGTGGGTGTGCATTAAATAAATTATGTTCATGTAAAATATATTATTTTTTTTAGTTAGTTCATTAATAAAACGACAACATATAATTCGTTATAGGTGTATGCAAAGGGGCTTGCTTTTTTAATAATTTCAATTGGGAAAAGAAGAAGATTCTAAAATTTGTTAAACGATTCCACTTTCATAAACAAAATCGGATGTACCTAAACTAACAGCTCAAAGGCCAATAATGGACCGTGATGCCAAAAATGTGAGGGAAATAAACTAGTAATGTGCCAACCATAAATTCCATTGGTATATAAAATGTTTATCCTCTTTATTATAAGTGAACAAAAATTATAAAAATGTAATTATATTATAGATAGTTCATAATAATTCAATAATGAAAGGAAGTAATTTTATACAATAACAACTTTTTATTATTTAACAATTATGTGACACCATAGACAAATCCCACATCAACATTGTACAACGGTAGACATTAGTTAAGTTGCTGCAAATGTGTGTTACCTTTTCCCTTTAGAAATGTCTTTTAAAATTGTGAGATTCATATATGAATCAAAATGAAAAATATTATTAAGACGGTACGTACATGGCTAATTATATACATAGTTTTTTTTTTTTTTTTTTTTTTTTTTTAAACTCATTAAAAAGAGTCTCAAATTCAAATGTTGGTATAACTTATAGGCCCTGTTTGGTAAAAATGGCTGTTAGCTGTTAGCTGATTGTGTTAATTAGAGGGTATAAATAGTTGGTAACATTAGCTGATTGTATAAAAGTAGCTAATTGTAGAAAAGTGTTTGGTAAATTAGCTGTTAGCTGATAGCTGTTTGATATAATTTCTTTTCTCAAAAAGCTAAATGAAAAAGTTGTTTGGAGTAACTATTTTAATTTTAGTCTTTTGGAGTTGCAAAAAGCTAATTAACCAAACATTTATATTGATATATTAACTAAATCAAACAATTAATAGTGGTCAAATAAGCTAAAATTGACCTATAAGTCAATTTTTTTACCAAACAGGACCATAATGACATTGATTATAGACAACATATTGATATGTAAATGTTTAATGAGAAAATGACATTTTCCCATTAAACATTTAAGTTATTAATAATTTTAAAAAAAAATAAAATAAAAAGAAAAATATGTAACACATGACAATATTGAGGAAGGAAAATGAATAGAAATGGAAAGAAATAGGTCGGTTCCTTACACCCAACGTATTTTGTTTATGTATGACTTTAAGAGGATAAGAACGACCTCCTCTCTTTTTTTTTTTTCTTTTTTTTTTTTTTTAAATGAAAAATCCAATTTTGCCCCCTCCTCCAAGCCAGTGCAATACAAGTACCTAACGCTTTGTCACCGCCTCCACTTCTATACTCCCCAAAATCGCAATTTGCAAAACCTTTTCTCTTCTCCCTCCATTCCAACAAGCTGGCGATTGATAATCAAGACACCACTATCAAGCCCAAGAACAGGCGAATCATGGTAATGTAATCCATTCCCCATTTCTTCATTGCCCATTTCTTCAATTTCCCATTTCTATTTGTAACACTTTACTGTATTCGATGATATAGGGAGCTGGAGGGCCTGATGAAGATGAGTATAGATGGCCGCCATGGCTGAAACCCATGCTCAAAGAACGCTTCTTTGTTCAATGCAATCTCCACGCCGATTCCCACAAGAGCGAATGCAATATGTACTGCCTTGACTGTATGAATGGCGCTCTCTGCTCTCTCTGTTTGCCCAATCACCCTCACCACCGCGCCATTCAGGTATTCTATTCGAATTTTTCACCTAATCGCGGCGTTGACTTTGATCTTCTGGGGCTCACTTTGATGGGATTTTCGCAGATTAGGAGATCATCGTACCATGATGTGATCAGAGTTAACGAGATTCAGAAGTTCCTGGACATCTCCGCCGTCCAGACCTACATTATCAACAGCGCCAAAGTTGTGTTCTTGAACGAAAGGCCCCAACCCAGACCCGGCAAGGGCGTCACCAATACTTGTGAAGTTTGCCGCCGCAGCCTTCTTGATTCTTTCCGTTTCTGCTCTTTGGGCTGCAAGGTAAGTTCTGGATTGAAGAATTAAAATTTTTTTTTTGGGATTATTTCAAGATTGTATGTATTGGTTGTCTATCTTTACAGATTGTCGGGACATCGAAGAATTTCGTGAGAAACCCGAAACGGTTGCCGGAGAAGAAGAGGACGGCGCCGCCGCCGTCGGACTCGGAGGATTCCTCGTATTGCAGCCATAGCCATGGGCGGGTGAGCAGAAAGGTGCAGAGCTTCACGCCGTCAACGCCGCCGCCAACTTGCGTTAATTACAAAACTGCCAAGCGAAGAAAGGGAATTCCACATAGAGCCCCAATGGGAGGGCTCATTATTGAATACTAGGCTTTTGCAGTTTTGCTCACAGGCCCTTCATCTTCTCCTAAATTACCCTAGCTCACCCATAGCCATGTTGTTGTATGTATATAGTAGCCACTAATAGAAGAATGAATGTTAAAAAAAAAAAAAAGTAGGGGCAGAAGTTGGAATAAGTAAATGTGGAAGGACTAAAGCCGCTAAGTTAGAAGTTTGGCTTAGAAAATAAGCTATATATATATTACTATAATAATAATAATAGTTTGATAATGAAATATGAGATACTAGAGTGGTTGTTTACACATATAACAGGTTTTTGTGTGTATGAATGAAAAATGTAAATATCGTTTTCTGTGTTTATATGCCGTAATGGAATATCACTTTGTTATTTTTTTCTTGCATTCTTTTATTAAATCATTATTATCTTTTTTTTTTTCTCACATATGGGAAAGCAGAACTGAATAATAATATTTAAAGATAAGTGCTAGAATTTGTCATTATTTAGAATAAGATAAATGTAAAATAGCATTTTTCTTAATATTAAAGTTGGTTTGTTTATTCTGGAGTTAATTTATTAATTTAGGCAGTATTCGCGAGAAGAGATTAATGTTTGGAATTGACCATATTAGTGTTGGGATTATGCTTAAAATGGATAGACCTTTTATGCGACATTTGATTACGACCCTGTTTGGTAAAAAATTGGTCTGTAGGTCAATTTTGACTTATTTAACTATTATTAATTGTTTGATTTAGTTAAAATGTCAATATAAATGTTTGATTAATAAACATTTTGCAACCCCAAAAAAGTTAAAATTCAAAAATCTATTCCAATCAATTTTTTCAATTAACTTTTTGAAAAAAAAATTATACCAAACATCTATCAATTAACAGCTAATTTACAAAACACTTTTCTACAATCAGCTAATATTATCAACTATTATACCCTTTAATTAACACAATCAACTAACAGCTAACAGCTTCCATTTTACTAAACAGGGTCTATGTCTGTTGTGTTACTAAATTAAAATTATCGTAATTTACATTTTTCTTATGTTTTTGGTGAGGTGTGGGGGTTTTTTGAAGTTGGGAATTTGATTTTTTGAAGAAAAAAAAAATTGGTTTAATTGCTTTTTGTGGAAAGTGTTGACTGGTTAAGAGGGGCCGAGGTGGGGACACACGTGGGATAGGTTAAGATGGTAGTCGCCATCTAGTGTTACGTGTCGGGAGGTGATTAGTAAGTGGAAAGCTGTCTGGATTCTCGGATCAATAAATTAGGTTTAGCCGCCCTCGGGAAATAATATTAATGTGGATTTTGATGGTGGAGGAGTTTCCTTTGAGTTCAGTGATTTCTGCCGCACGATTATTGGAATCGTACGGCGCTGATTGGGTTTAGTGTTTCTCAGTGGGTGGGTGGAATCCCCATTCCCCAATCCTTTCTTTCTTTTTAACATTAAAAAAAAAATGGAATAAGGTTCAAATTGGCCACTGAACGTAACTTGAAGATGCAATTAGGTCACTGAACGAACAAAAAGTGCAATTAGACCACTGAACACTTCAAAACGTGCAATTAGGCCACTGAACTCTCCAAACGTATGCAATTTCACCGGATAGCAGGTTACCATCAATTTTAGCAGGTTACCTGCTTACGTGGCAGCTGAGTTGGCATTTTTAATAATTTTTAAATAATTTTTAATAATTAATTTTAATAATAAATTTTATAAAAAAATTGAAAAAATTTAAATAAAAATAAAATAAAGTCGTTTTTATTTTTTTTAAAATGTTTTTAAATAAAAATTTATTATTAAAATTTATTAAAAATAATTTAAAATTTATTAAAAATGCCAACTCAGCTGCCACGTAAGCAGATAACCTGCTAAAATTGAGGGTAACCTGCTATCAGGTGAAATTGCACATTTTTAGAGTGTTCAGGGGCTTAATTGCACTTTTTTTTTCGTTCAGTGACCTAATTGCATTTTCAGGTTACGTTCAGTGGCCAATTTGAACCTTATTCCTTAAAAAATTATGCTCAAATAATGAGAAAATAGTACCTCGACTCTCATTTTTTACTCACAATGTAATACTTCGTATTTGTTTTATAATTTTTTTACTATTTTTTAGTCTAAAGAATCAATGCTCCATTAAATTATTTGAGTTCGATCCTGTGACCAAGCAGTTAGAAGGGTAACAAATGTGTCATCACAATACATAATAGTTGGCACCTTATACTTTACTTTTTTTTTTTGGTCAAAATTTTAACTTATGTTTATTTCCATTTTTTAATTTTTATTTCTCAATATCTGTTTTGTTTTTTTTATATTTTTTTTAAAAAACTACATTTATTAACACTTGTTTTTTTCTAATTTTATTTTTTCATAAAAAAAAAAATTAGTAAACACATCATTCAAATTACAGCATTGTTCATGCCACTTTATACTTTTAGTTTGCTAAATTTTCTAATGTGATTTATTGCTGTTTAACTTATCAAATGAATATAGAATAAGAAGAAATAAATTAGAAATCATTAAAATATGAATACAACTTGTATAAATTATAATCCGTATGTCCTAATGACCCAAAACAAAAAGAATTTCCAAACTCAACGATACTATTGAAAAGTAGAATTGTTGTACCAAAAAGAGTGAGGTTTGACCTCGGAGTCAAACACCAATATAATCAAATTGATACTTAAATTTATTTAAAAAAACAATGAATAAGTGTCAAATAAACACCGAACTACACACGAAAATGCAATTAGACCATCGAATTAAAAAAAAAATACAATTAAGTCCTTAAACAACACAAAATCAAACAATTGAACTAAAAATGACCTGTTTAGCTATTAGTTGTTGACGCGACTAGAGCCGTCAAAATGGTCTCGCGGGGCGGAACGGGCCAAAACACACCAAACCCTGTCCTTGTAGCGGGACGGGCTAAAAAGCCCGCCTCTTAGCAGGCTTAGAATGTGGTCGGCCCGCCCCGCCATGCCAAAGCCCGCTGGCGGGACGGGCCCGCCAATCAATTTTTTCACTGTGTTATCAGTACACTAACACAGTAACACTACCTAGTATTGTATTCCTACAAATCTATAATCCTATAAGTTATAACACACTAACACAATTACACAAACCAAAATAACACAAAAAATAATATGTATTAAATACTAAATATATATACAAAATATATATATGTATTAGCAGGTCGCGCGCTAAACCTATGACCTGCCTGACCCGCCCCGCCTGGACCCGTGACCCAGGCTTAGCCCGCCTCTTGGCGGATCAAAATTTGAAGAACCCGTCCCCTACCTACGACGGTACCGGACGGGTCGACCCAGCAGGTAAAACCCATTTTTGACGACTTTAGATGTGACAGTCACCAGATTAAAAAATTAATTTTATTTTAATAATTTTAAATAAATAAATTATTTTTTAAAAAAAAAGCATGCAGCTTCGTTCCCAGGCTACTGGAGTCTTCGTCTCTCGCAGCCTGGAGTCGAAGCCGCATGTTCTTTCTTTCTTTTTTTATTTTTTTAAAAAAGTAATTTATTTATTTAAAATTATTAGAATAAAATTAAAACAAAATATTTTTTAATTTGATAACTACCACATCAACAACTAGTAGGTAAATTAGTCACTTTTAGTTCAATTGCATGCTTAATTAATATTGTGTTGTTTAAGGACTTAATTATAATTTTTTTGAGTTCAATAACTTAATTGCAGTTTCATATGTAATTTGGTGGTCTAAAACTGAGGCAGTTTGTTTATAAAATGTTGTGATCTGCAGATGGTTTGTTGTCAAAAGGGATTGATCGGTTTTTGTCATGGATGCTAAATGTTGTCTGAAATGGTTTGTACGTGGAGGACAAATTATACCATCTACTACGATTTATCTTATATTGTGAATTCTAATTATAAATAAAATTTAAATTATGTATATACGGTTAATATAATATATGTTTATACATAAATTGAAGGCACATAATATGTTAACTACCGATACATAATATGTAGTTAACATATTATGTGTTTGTAGTTAACCTATTATATGTCTTCTATTTATATATAAGCAAATAATATGTTAATGGAAAACACATAATTTTTGAATTAGTGTTTACAATGAAAGGTGAACTTGATCCCTAGTATAACAATGGGCAAAGAAGTTGGTTAGACAAAAGGGGTTTGTGTTGATGCCAATTTACATGATGGATTAGATCATGGCCATTGGAAAATGGTGGATAATAAGTGGTATGAGTTTTTTTTACTTTTGGTCTTATGATTATAGTGGCATTATATATCAAGATTATCTACGATTTTTGGATCCTGTAATCTTAGTCCACGACTATTGTTTTTGTTACAAAAATGATCATTTCGGCCAATTTTCTATCAAAATCTCACCAGAAATTTTTTTTTTTTCCATTTCAAGCACGGATAAAATAGACATTAATTTCCCATTTCAAGTAGGGATAAAATAGATATTTACATTGACCTTGCAATTGTTGGAAAAATTAGCTTAAAATGGCATAAAATGACATATTAAGTGGCTATTTTGTGGTACAATTATCAGTGGGGTCCACTTCCAATTTGGGTCGGGTCAAAGTGGATTCGGGTTCTTCGTAGTGAGACGAAGATATTGATATATTGTACACTCAAAACGGATAATGGGTGAATGAGTTATTGATTCTCAAAGTAGGCCCATTTGAGTTGGGAAATAGTGGACTTTGTCCCACATTGGTTTGGAAAGAAGATTTGCCCCCCTTATATATAAGAGCTCTTTTGAAGCTTGTGGAATTGTATAGCATAGAGGCTCTCTCATGCAGGGGGGGGGGGGGGGGTGCAAATCAAAATCCAACTAGAAGAGATAAAAAAGGCTTGATTCAAGCCCGAGGTCGGGTGCGCCTTGCGGGCTAAGTTATGCCAAACTTCGGTATCATTTTCCAACTGATATAGTCACGTCACTTGGTTCGACCAAAACCGAGAGCACCTACTCTCGTGCTACAAAGAGCACGAGAGGTTGTGGTGCACCGAGAGCGCAACTCTCATGCATCAGTGATCACGAGAGGTGCACTCTCGGGTTGCACCACAGCGCGCACGAGAGATGTATTCTCGTGTTGCTTGGTCCGTGTGCTCTCATGTGAACCTGCACCCCAACAGTCTGAAACCCGAAAGTTCTGAAGATTAAACTCATCTGTTACTGAAATTAACACTGTTTTAATTCCAATTTTTTAAACTGAGTTTAATCCTACTTAATGGGTGGCTGTTGCAGGTGTTATACAATTGGTTTTAATACCAATTCAAGGCCATGTTGAATGTTATCCCTTCCAACAGCCCTATATAAAGGGAGGTAGAACAGAAGCATTTTAAAATAGTACAAAAACGAAAGGAATTCCAGTACAATTT